TATTAATTCATTAAGTGATCTGAAAATTATTAACTGAATTATACTCTAAATAGCTTATATTCCCAACAGTTTTTTCCTTACTCTTTTTCATTGTGGATAGTTGTGGACATGTACTTGAACACTGTCTTTCTGGAGATTTCTTTATCTATATATTTCTTTTGTTATCTTAGTTACATGCTCTCTATTGTAGTTTTAGCTGTATATCTGTATACAGGATGACCTAGAAGGCGTGAATATGATCGAGTGGTTGCATTGCTCGCTGAGCCGCATTTTAAATGTTTACATTTTAGAACCGGGGCATGACATATTCTTCGCTGCTTGCTTGAATCCTTCAAATTAAGGGTCCTTATCTATTTTTTGTGTATTTGTTTATCAAAATTTTAATTTGTCATTAATAGGATATAGAGATTGGGACCCTATATAATAGGATGCAATGGGCAGTTAAAGTGAACGTGGTTTGATAGTGGAGCTTGAGGTTTTTTTTTTGTTGTTTTCTAATTGAGCCTTTGACATAAGTTTGTAAAGAATTGTAAGCTAGAAGGACATACTTAGGTTTTTGGAAATTATAACCAGTTAAGGGTATAACACCAAAAAATTATTCCAAAAGCCAAGCTTTCTTTAATAAGTAGTAATAGATATACATAATCTCATTTTCATCTAATAAGCCGTTAGCAACATGTTTTATTTGGTTTCTTTTTCTATTTCTATAGTGGAGAGAATCTTTTTACTCTTAGAAATCACACCGTGGAGTTGAAAGTAATTGATTTCAAACAATCATATGTTTTTTAATTGGGCAGTTTATTTCACGTAAGCTCTCTTTGTTCATCCTTCTTGGGCCTTCATTATTATGAATATAATTTATCTAATAAATTTAAATCATAAATCCAGTACTAATGACAAAAAGAAAACAATTATGGTAATAGGATTATCTCAACAATAAAAATTATTATTATCTTTTTTAATAAATAATTATATTTAGAATTAACTTCACCTTGATTAAAAACGTGCCTTAAATGTCTAATCAACTGGGGAATAGTATGTAAGGCCAAAGATGAAGGAGGGCTTGGGGTGATTGACATCCCCTCCTTTAATTCAGCCCTCCTCTCCAAATGGATCTGGAAAATTTTTGATAGATCATCCCTGCTCAGTGAAGTGTTTTTCTCCATTTATTCTAAATATGGAGCTAACCCGTTTGCTAATCATCCGAAGATGTCACACTCAAGATTTTTTCAGGATCTTTTCTCATCACAATCCACCTTCTTCAACACTGTCAGATGGAATGTTGGTAATGGCATCACGGGCAGTTTTTGGCATGATAAATGGGCATCAGCTAACACTCTTAGCAGTCTCTTTCCACATGCATACAAGCTAGCCTTCTCGAGCAACTGTAGCATCGGATCGCAAGGAAGATGGGCCAATGGCTCATGGGTCTGGCACCCCATTAGTAGAAGGGGAACTTCCCCCAGTGAGAGGGCAGACGTTACCCATCTTCTCTCTTTCCTAGAGCATCAATCCCCAGGCGACTCATCAGAGCAGGATGCTTTATGGTGGCCTCTTCATTCATCGGGCTCTAGAGCATCAATCCCCAGGCGACTCATCAGAGCAGGATGCTTTATGGTGGCCTCTTCATTCATCGGGCTCCTTCACTGTAAAATCCTTTTACTCCTTTATTACTTCAGGGGGGTCTTAAATCTAAGTATTTCAACTTGACTTGGAAATCCAACATTCCCCTCAAGGTAAAAATCCACCTATGGATTATTACTAAAAGGAAATTGAATACAAAAGATAACTTGATTAAAAAAGGATGGAATGGAGATCAAAGTTGTCCCTTGTGTCATCGGGAGACAGAGTCTCACGATCACCTTTTTATTCATTGCTCTTTTGCCCGTGAAGTCTGGAACTACCTCCTCCCTCTTTTCCCAGTTAACAGCTGGCCCACAAATATGGAGGACCTGCTGCTGTTCTATCAAGTTCCCAACATTTGCCCGGACATTAAAGCCATATGGAAGATCTTGTTGCCATGTTACTGTTGGTGGATATGGTTCTGTAGAAATTCGTTAATATTCAGGGATATTGTACCTAATTCGTTAACTACTGCTTCTAATATCGCGAGATTTACGATTTTCTGGTCAGGTGACGGAGATGACAGGACGGCGAGGAGGCTGCGAAGGGCAGCCCTCAAGCTTGGCCTACAGGACCTAGCAAAGAAGCCTCCCCCTGAGGATGCAGGGGACAATCTCTCCAGTAGTTAGCAGCTGCGTCTTGAGCTGCATCAGGAAGAAGAAACTCTGTTGGGCGCTTTTGTTCCATTTTGGTTAGTTGCTAGCTGCGCCTAGCAAATTCAGTTTTATTTCTCAGTCTGTTGCTGTTTTCTAATTCCTTTTGGACACGTTGTTCTCTTGATGGTTTTCTTTTGTTTTCTCTAGACGTAGGAAACGGTAGGTCTTGTGTGGTAGGTGACGACTATGGTCCGCTCCCTACCCACCACTCCCACTGCTTTTCCTCTATCTAGAGAAGTTATATGTATTTACTTCCAACTTTTCTTTTATATATTAAATGAACAGGGTACCTCACCCTGTTTCTCTGGTTCAAAAAAAAAAAAAACGTGCCTTAAAAAATTCCCGTCAGCATTGCAGGGGTAAGAGACTACTCACCTTCTATCCCAATCTCGTGGAGTTTAGTGGAGTTTACCCAACACCATATATA